GGGAGTTCCACATCATCATCATGGTCATCATCATCATGGTCATCATCACATCTTTTCTAACTTCGAGCCAAAGTATGGACCACCAACAAAAGCTCTCCGTGCACATCTGCTCTCCTATAAGCTACAGTCTCCGCATCTGTCCAGCTGTATACCATCTCCTTTGGTCCGCCTATCACACATTATTTATGAAGGCCTACTGTGCATTTGCCTACACTGGTCTGGTAAGTATTATTCTTATTCGACCCCAAAGGAAATCGATGAAGTCCCATCTCTTTTTTTCGTAAGAGTTTTACGGCACTTGCAACACAATAAGTGCCAAAGATTAGACGTGCTACAAGGGAGTAAGGGAGTAACAACCACAAAAAGAAGGAGTTGAGATAAAGACGATAGATGTTTGACAGGAAACAAGGAGCAAACCACACCAGAGCATCAACCAACGTACAACAGTCCCATCTCTGGGAGAATTTTAGATCTATACTGATACACATACACCCTCCCCCGAACCCGCCCTGCACGAGCGAACGTTCACCTTCCCCGGGTTTTTTTCTTCAGTCTGGTGTCTTTCCTAGGTGTGAAGAAACTTGAAAGTTCCCCTCTTTTTCCTTTTATTTCGTTCACACACACACACACACACACACACACACACACACACACACACACACACACACACACACACAAATTGATCAACAATTCACCGTTTAAACAGATCATCACACTTAGATACTTCTTATGTTCTTCTTACAAACTCCTCACTCGAAGCCTTTTTACAGTCATTTTTTTACAATCCCCTGCTCACTTGCTTTGTTTACGTTGGATGAACTGTAAAAGTCTTTTTGGTCACTTTTTAGCACTGCTTTAATTTAGATACTTTATTTTTGTGCCCTAAATGAGCTATTAAAAGTTTTCGAGATGCGCTCATTTAATTTATTACACCACTGTTCTGCTTGTGTGTCAGCGACAAGTTAGCAGCTAAACAGCAGCTTAATTAATTAACGTTTGTTTCTTCTGATCACCACGGGAAACAATCTTCTGCATTTTCCCAACGTTCAGCCCTTTTTGTCATGTAGAATCCAATGCTTGTCGTGTTGTTTCAGTAGAAATTAACACGAGAATAGGTACGCTGGATACGTTAGCGGTCGTGGGTGATGTGTGAGACAAGGCGTCCGAGATGTCCGTCCCTCCGATAAAGATATATTTGGCGTGAGAAGCTCGGAGTGCTTGCAGGTCTCGCTACAGGCGAAGAGGAGCGCCACCTGTGGTTATCCACTGACAGTCGATGGTTCATGGGCTCAGGCTCAAAGGCAAAGCGTAGTTAGTCTTTCTTTTTGTAATTTAGCCAAAGTTGTAAAGCTCAAGGCCACCGAGCCAAAGGTATATAGATACATTAAAATGATAGTAGGATAAATAGCTAAAGACTAACATGAAATCATAAAATAAATCAGCCCCACCCCAAAAAAGACAACAACAAAAAACAACAAAAAAAACCAAACAAAAAAAACACAACAAAAACAACATCCAAAAACAAACAAAACAAAAAACAAAAAGCAGCAAACAAACAAATAAACAAACAAACAAAAAAACAAGAAGTACCAACAACCAGTAGAACACACCCACCAACAAACAAGATACAAAGATTGGTACAGTCACACATTCTAAAATACTATATAAAAAACTCAAACCCCATTTTGATATAATATTTTAAGACAAACAAGTCCTCCCCTTTCACATACTACGTACATAAACGTATGACTTCAGGTGAAGTATTATGGCATACCAGGTTAGACTAACTCTCGGCAGGTAAATATTTTCTCAGAGATGGTAATGGGAGCGGATATATGACAGACAGGACTATTTCCCTTCATTCTCAGGGAGGATAAAGAGATGGCTTTGTAGCTCGCTGACGCACTGTATGAGAACACGTACAGAAACCATCTTTCTTCTTCAACATCACGCATGAGAACTAAGACGGGGGGAGAGAGAGGGGGAGGAGGAGGGGA